ACAGCACCTGTCCCCCCTCTCGCACCCTTCCCCTCTGTCACTGATGGGAAGTAGAGGGCAGGCCCTGGCGCTCAGATGGTGCTCGCTTGCTGAGATGCTGGGGCGTCGCTCTGTACGAGAGCCCTGGGTGGGAGAGGCAGTGAGAAGGCTCCGATTGGTGACCGTCATTTGCACTTTGAACATGTTTCGTTTTTGTGTGGTGGTAACAAAAGTCCTTATTTATTGATCAGAGGGTCTGGTGTTTTTAATTACATTTGCGGGGGGTTGGGCTATTCCAAAGTGGGCTCCTTGACATCAGTGGAACTCCTAGGGGTTAGCCGTGCTGGAGCAGCAGCTGCTAGGACTGATCCCCACCACAAAGAGAATCAGGGTGAAGAAAGCACTACGGAAGCTGAGTAGCTGGTTGTAAACAGGGCAGTGTGACAGACCCCATGGGAGGAACTCCATTTGCATTGTGGAGTTTTGGAGCAATTGTTTGCTTTGGGGTGGGGTAGGCAGTGGGGGATGAATAGCTTAGTTTAGGGCTCTGAACTGCAGAAACAACTTATATAGCGTTCTCTCTCCCTCCCCAGTTTATTCCAAGCTCCTTGCATTAACCCTTTTTTTCTCACTGATTCATCCTCACTCCCTGCCATTGGAAGGATTAGCACTGATAGCCAAGGAACTTGTTCCAGTCTTGTGACAGATGTATAACTAAGTGGTGCAGGATACCGCGTTCCCCATCCAATTCTGCCTCTCCTTTCCTGAAAGAGATACAGCTATGGGGGGAAGAGACTGGGCTCATGATTTGAATAGAGGCAGGCAGACTGACTGACATCTGGTTGCGGGAATGGCAACTTCTCTCCCTGCATGGACACCCCTGGGGACAGAGCATGGAGTGTGTTCCCCCTACACATGCTCCTTACAAGGCCAGCTTTCGCAAACGTTCCTAGTTTCTGTGAGACATGGTGGTGTGGTTTTGCCTGCGAGCGAGAGATGGGCATGCATAGCTTAGTGATTAAGACACCACAGAAAGGTTTAGGACATAATGTATCTTAAGTCTTGAGCGCAGATCTTTGCTCTGTCCATTGTCAGAAACTTCGTGCAGTGACCTTACATTGGTTTGCTTTTTGGAAAAAGCGAGGAATAATCTGTTTGCTTGTGTCCATGTGGTTCAGGAGGAAGTTACAATACCCTGTTTAAACACCGAGCCAGCAAAACTTGTTTGTTGTAGAGCTGGTTGGAAAATGGAATTTTTCTGCGGAAAAGTTTGACAAACTAGAAGAATTTCATTTTCATTGGAAATTTACCACAGAATGTTTTTAACTTTTGTCTAAAAACTGGAAACAGGCTGACCGCTGAAATCTTTTGGGAAAATCACAGCAAAATGTCTGGTTTCTGGTCAGGTCGACCCACATTTGTCAAACATATTGTGAAACAATTCACTTCAATTTGGATCAGTTCAACATTAAACTGTGTTTACCTGAGCTGCTGCAGGTCACCCTATGGGGTGGGCTCCCTGGTCAGACTGCATCTTCCGGGATGCACCATGTTCTTCCCTCTTTCTGATAGATTGGTTGTGTCATCTAATCACATGGTTGTGGTGCATCATGGGAGATGTAGTCCAGCTGAGAACATAAGTTGTTAAGAATGGAATGGGGGCTTAAGGCATCGGAGCTACAACTCCCAGCAGCAGCAGCTCAGGAAGATGTGCTTTAATGTTGAAATGAGACACACCTAACTTTCATTTGGAATGTTGAAATGTCTCATTTCAGTTATAAACATCAGAACCGTTTTAACATTTCCAAATTGAAGATTTTGGCTTTTGGGCAGGAAGCTGAAATTTTCTGCAGATAATTGAATTAAATAAAATTTGCTCAAAACCAGTGTTGATGGAAAGCTTTCAACTAGTCCTAGATATGTGGCTTTGCTGGCCAGGACGGCTGTGGCCATCTCCTGACACCTGTGTTTAAAACTCTTCTAGTCTAGGTCCTGACCTTGCATGATTAAAAGCGATTGTGGTGCAGGTTAGTTTTGGCTGGCTGGTCAGCCAGCCAGACACTGCTACAGACCAGTTCTGCAGGAGCTCTGTGGAAAGCCTCCGTCACGTGGTTTGAAGTCTGATGCAGACCGGGCCTTCCAGGGAACACTAAAAAGGAGAACTTTGCCTTATCAATTTCCTTTTATTTCTAAGGATGGCACTAAAATGCTGTTGGGTAGAAATCTCACTCTGGGGTGGTGCAATAGCTAGACAGCCTGCTGTGGAGACTGCCCCATGACTTGCCTGCAGAGTGATGCAGCCCAGTCACCTCGCCTGGGAAATAAGGATGTGGGCTGTTCAACTTCTCCAGTAGAGGGAAAGTTTCTCCCATTTCCAGCAGGCAGCAATGAGTGGGGAATTCGGCTCTGAAGTCCTTCCTATCCCTGTCACTTCCTTGCCGTCATCCCACACACTTTTCTGGTTTAACCTTCCTTCCTCCCTCCCCCCTTTGGTCTCATCCAATTGTTTCTGTCCTTAAACACAGCCTTCTAACCTCCAGGGCAGGAGAGACCTGTGTAACTTCCAGCCTCGGGTTTAAAAAACGAAAACTGACACTCAATGCCTTCCTGCTGCTTCTCCCCCTCCGTGTCTCTCCCACCACTCGCATGCAGTTTGCTTCAATAAATTATTGTAGTAGTTTGCAATAAACATTTTTGTATTTTTTTCCCCCCATGTATTTATTTTTTCTCCGGCGGCGGGAGCACATTGGGGAGCTGGGCTTAGGGTGCTTCCTTTTCCCCTTTCACGTAGGCTGGTTTGTGGTGACTGACTTAACATCACTCCCCCACCCCTTCCTTTTAGTGGTCAGTGTGGGAACTCCCCATGTAAGCTGCATTCTCCGCAGTTGGAGTTGCCTCTTCGCGTCCCACCATCAAGGTTAAGCTTGCATGGGAGTTGTGCAGAGGGGCTTTTGCTTTGTGCATGGGGCATCAGCCGCCCGCTGTGTCACTCTGCTGCCACTCCATCTGGCATTGATGCTTCCTGAAAGCTGGCTGGGCATCCTTCAGCTCCTGGGACAGGGTGGGGAGGCAGGGGGGACAACCTGGATTAGCATGAAACCTGCCAATGGGGGGAGGGGGGGGTTAAACTTTATACTGCTTAGCAGCACTACCTGCAGTAGCCACCAGGTGGCAACACAGCTGTTGCATTGGCACACCCCTCTCGTGTGGAACAAAAGCTGGGGAGAGGAGATGCATAAGCTGACAAACCTTTGATTGCTAGAAGTCTTGTCCCACAGGGCGAGGGGGAGCCCAGGTCGCTACCTGAACCCAAGTTGGGGAAAGGGTAATGTAAAACGTAATAAAGGGATACTCTGCTTTTCAACTCGTTTTCTCGTAATCTGGGTAAGACATAACCAAAATAAATGTATAAAGGAAAACACAATAAAAGTTGTTTGTCTTGGTGCATGCAGCTTGTCTGCTGTGGTTGTAGTGGATTATGCTGGGAGCACAGGGGAAGGGCATGGTCATATATAAGCAGGGTGGGAGCCATTATTTTCAGTTACATTTGAGCAGGGTAAATGCCGTATTAAATTCCCAGAGGACTGCAGATAAGCAGGGATGTGGGTGGTAAGGATGGATGGCACTAGTATCCTGCCTGCTGGATGGGGCTTTTTCCCTTCGCGTCACCAGTTTGGATCGTGGTCAAAAGTCTGGAAATCAGGTTGAGCTGTCTGCCGTTTGGTGACGTGAGTGTGCAAGGGCTGTCTTCTGCCTAGAAGGACACAGTCACCACTAAAAGCATTGGGACCCTTTGAATCTCAGGAGAGAGCCACATCTTTCCAAGTGCATATTTGGGTCCAGATAAACTGACGGTGTGCAGAAACAGTTGCGCATGCGGTCCTGGATTTGCGAGTTCTCCGCTGGGGGCTCGGGGCCTGAGCTCCCGCAATGTGAGTGGTGCTCTCTCCAGTCTCAACTCAAGGGGAAAGGGGAGAGAAGCCGGCCCATGGTGATAGAAAACATCCCTTGCCTCTCTGCGATGACGGGCTCAGTAGACGAACCTAGTAGAGAGTGCTGGCCAAGATTTTAAAACCAGCCTAAAAGGGATGGCTTGAGCCACTGGCTCCCGTGGACTGCTGTGCCAAGTTATAGGGTGCTCAGCATTTTGGAAAATCAAGTCACTTATTTAGACACCTGTTTTTGCAAATCTTGGCCCCTGTGGAATGGTTGCAGTCTCTGGCTGTTGATCGGATCACCTTTGCCGGACAAGAAAATTCAAGTGTGGATGCAGCATGCATGCTTATTTTCTTATATTCATTTATCTGGCTGTGATTTGTCGTTGCTTAACATTAGCTAGTGAAATGACTCCAGGTCTGGGAAAAGAGGGTTATGGGGCACTAGACCTGGCTCAGCACGAAAGAAAAGAGCGAGAACTTCCCAGACAGAACAGGGAGGATGCGGGAAATAACGGATCGTATCAGGCTTTGTGTCTCATCTCAGTGGGGGATGATCAGGACACCCATTTGGCAACTGTATACAACAGGGATAGTCAATAGGACCGTGGGCCAAATCCCAATCGCCAGGTGCTTTTGAACAGACTCCAAAATCTTTTTATTTACTTATCTTTTATTCTTTTCTCTGGAGTTTGGACCTTGACCAAGAAATTTGGACCTTCACAAAAAATAGACTACCCCTCATACAAGTTGTGAGGGACAGATGTAGCCGCAGATGAGTGGACTAGAGCTGTGGGGGAGGAAGGGTGGAGTGACTGGGAGACTGATTCTGGGCCAGGCAACTTGAAGGCGCATGGAGGAGGGACATGGTAAGAGATGAAAAATCTGCCTTTGTCGACCTCCATGGCAGACATGTTCAGTCTCTTCCCCAGGCCTCTGGGGGAGAGAGGCGCGTGAGTGGCTAATGCTCTCTAGAGCTGGAATGTGCGAGCTGAGCAAGGGATTTTTCTGGCTTGGCCGTGGCGCAGCCCCGTGTGATCGCTCTGGCTCAGCTGCTCTCTGCATCTGGGACAGCCGGCTGGCGTGATGGCTTCGGCCGAGCAATCCCCTGTGACCCTCCAACACCACAACCTCTGCAGCCGCGTCATCCTCCTAGCCAGGAAGATCCGCTCCGACGTGGCCAGCCTCCTGGAGTCCTATGTGAGTCTCCTCCTCCCAGGCCCATCCCTGAGCTGCGACATCTCGCCTGGCAGCCAAGTACGGTGGCACCTTGCTCTGTCACCAACACTGCCTTTAAAAGCAAAGGGGGTGGCTCTAGTTTGACCTCCCTGCCTTGGGTTTGGGTGCATCTTCCCATATTTGATACGGATGCATGTTGGGTACAGGTTTATAAAGAGCGTGGGGAGGGGTGGGGGTATTCAGTCAATCAGCTCAGCCAGTGGATGGAACTTGCCAGGTGAGTAAAAGGGTCCTTGTGCAGCCTCATGAAGGTAGGGTAGACTGAATTCCTCCTGTGCTTTTCCCCCTCTCCCTGTTGGTAGGGAGATGAGTAACCAATGTCTCTTCCACCTGTTGCAGAGAATCCAGGCTCTTCTCCTTTGTCCTACTGCACCTCTAGTGCAGGTTCTGTTCCTTTCTATCACCCCTGAAGCAGAGAAACAGCCACCTCTAAGGTAGAACATGACTCATGCTTGAGAGCATGCACACCCTTCTGGGGATTGAACTAGCGAGATAAAGATTGCTACAGCCTCACCCGCACCCTCTGGATCAGGGACAGAGAGGACATGTAACACGTTCCCCCTGTGCAGCAGTTGAAACGGTCTCCAATTGACCCATCAGTGGGAGGGAACATACATCTTTGGGCGGTGTGGGAATTCAGGCAGGGTATGGGTTAAAGTTCCTGCCCTTCACCCCAAAATGCAGTGGGAAGTTTGATGGGGGGAGGGGAAGGACCTTGGGTTTGTCTCAACAGATGCTAGAGCTTGGTTGGGGGGAAGGTGGGTGTGCTCAAGGTGCCTCAGGCCTGGTGTCACCCTTGTGGGCGCTGCTAGAGAAAGAAATGGAGCTGATGGTTCATGGAATCTGAGTCAGGTCCTGAATCCTCTTTCCACCAGCACATGGGTGATGTGGGCTGGCACTATCCCAGGAGCCCAGGGAGCACGGGGTGCCAAGCTCTGGAAAAGCTCTGCTGTAAATTCCCCCAATCCTCGCCCCTTCCTTGAATGCTCCTGACTTTTCATCAGGAAGCTTTCCAGGGGGATTTTCTAGCCAGCTCTAGAGGGCAACTCCTGCAGAGCTCCTGCCGTTTTGCTTTTCCATTAGTTTGGGGCTTGTTTCGGAGAGGAGTGACCCCTACGTTCATAGATTCCACCCCTGGAAGGGACCATTGTGATCACTGAGTCGGACTCCTGCAAAACACAGGCAGGAAGACTGCCCCGAAGTCATTCCTGGAGCAGAGCTTTGAGAAAAACATCCCGTCTTGATTTTAAAACTGTCGGTGATGGAGAATCCACCATAACCCTGGGTTAATTGTTCCAATGGGTAATTACTCTCATCAGTAAAAACATACTCCTTATTTTCAGCCTGAATTTGTCTAGCTTCAACTTGCAGCCAGTGGAGTGTGTTAGACCTTTCGCTGCTAGAGTTAAGAGCCCATTATTTAATATTTGTTCCCCAGGTGGGTACTTCTAGACTGTGATCAAGTCACTCCTTAACCTTCTTTTTGTTCAGCTCAATCGATTTTGCTCCTGGAGTCTCTCACGGTAAGGCAGGTTTTCCAATCCCTTCATCGTTCTCTTGGCTCTTCTCTAATCCCTCTCCAATGTATCAACATCCCTCTTGAATTGTGGGCTCTGGCACCGGACACGGTATTCCAGCAGTGATTGTACCAGTGTCAAATACTCTCTCCTCGAGAGTCCCATTTGTGCATCTTAGTATTGCATTACCTCTTGTGGCCACAGCATCACCCTGGGAGCTCATCTTCAGTTGATTATCCAGCATCACCCCCACAAACTTTTTTCAGAGGCCCCTACCCTGTATGTATGGCCAGTACTGCCCTAGGCAGCACCTAGGGGCGGGCTACTGTTTTTGCTGACAACAGGGGCTTGAAACAGGGACTTCCAGAGCTAAACGCGTGACCTGCTGCATCTTCAGCTAAAGAACCAGCCTCGGGAGGTGGAGACTGTAGCAGACCCATCTCCTCTGTGGATCAGGGACAGAGGGGGACACAACACTGGCTGGTAGCTACCTCCTAGCTGTCCCAGCTAAGGGCTGACTGAGGCTAACCCAAAACAGCAGAGGCTAGGCTACCCTGTCCCTTCTGATGGGTTCGCCAGCAACAATTGTGCAAGCTCTTGTCATCTCCTTGCTCATTTCTCCATTGTTCAGACAATGTGGAGCAGCCAAGGCCCAGGGCCGTGACCGTAGCAATCTGGTTCATAATAAAGCTTCCCCTTCCTTCCCTGGCCTGTGAGTGATAAGTGACTGACATTCCCCAGGCTACAATTTGGACTGCTGGACAGTTGTCCCCTCAATATTCCAGCCTGGGGTGCCTTTTACACTGCTTTGCTGTGAGAACCGCCACTCCAGGTCTGTTCACACACCGTCTTTAGCATGCAAAATCACCCCCAGCTGTATTACATGAATGATCTGGTCAGCCACTCATGAATTACATACAGGGCAACACCATTCGCAGACCTTTCCCCAGAAATGTAGAATCATAGAATATCAGGGTTGGATGGGACCTCAGGAGGTCATCTAGTCCAACCCCCTGCTCAAAGCAGGACCAATCCCCAGGCAGATTTTTACTCCAGTTCCCTAAATGGCCCCCTCAAGGATTGAACTCACCCCCCTGGGTTTAGCAGACCAACGCTCAAACCACTGAGCGATCCCTTCTCCCACAAAAGTTGTCTCCTTGGAGTCTGTACATCTTGTACAGCCCAGCACCCACTGATGATACAAGCTCATAGAAAGGCCGTCATTTCATCAATGGACAATGATATGCACAGACCCTGCTATCTCAAGTGGATGTTCCCAAACACTTCAATCCAAACAACACCGGTTTAGATAAAACAAGTTTATTAACTACAGAAAGCTTATGCTCCAATACATCTGTTAGTCTATAAGGTGCCACAGGACTCTTTGTTGCTTTTTACAGAAAGAGTGAGATTTTCAGTGATTACAAGTAATGAGGCATAGAAGTCAGAATTGGTTTCCAAGGGGAAAAAAGATAAAACACCAGCTTATACCTAACAAGCGAAGTGAGCTTAAAAACCAAAGATTTTTCTCAGTATAAGCTTACAGCAGTCTGGATTGGCTGAAAAGCCTCCTAGCCAGGACCCCTGCCCCAGTTCAAAGATGTTTCCTTTGTCTTTCAAGCTTTGTAGCTGTCCTGAGTAGAGATGGGGGGGAGAGAAGTGATTTGTGTTGTGTGTGTCCTCCATTCTTATACCCTTCTCCCCGTTTGGAGGATTACCTTTAACTGGGGTTCAGGCAACAGGCAGTCTGTTTACACAGAAGCTCCCAGTTGTCCTATTGTCAATATGTAAAGTTCTCGCTCACACCCTTCTTCCTGCCACAGAATGGCCATTTAACTAGGTGATTGTCCAATTGATCATGCTGATACATGGCTGGGGTGCCAGTGTGTCTGTCTCTGAAGAACTGGTTTGGGCCTGCCTTTCTAACTCTGGAACATATCACAGCAATGTTACGCAGTAGAATCTTATAACTTTACATACAATGTTGCCACACATTTTACTCTGACAATAATGTTCAGCAGATTATGAGTTTTTGAATGATACGTCACAAGGCATACTTTGTACAGAATTTATCATAGTCTTGTTAAAAGGGTGAATGTGGGGTACAGTCTGTCTCAGTGACACTGGGATTTCTCTTCTCCCTGGCATGGATTCTGGTTATCAAGAAAGGGAGCGAGTGATTGGGTTTGGCTGCGGGGGCTGGTGAAGTGGAGTGGGTGGATTTGGGGTGATGGCGTGGGAGAAGGGGAGATGATTAGATGGAGAAGGGAGGGGAGTGGGTGGGGCTAATAGGGGAGAGTGGGGGGCTGATCTTTCTGTAACTGAACCTCCCCCCTCAGGTGGAGAGGCAGGGGCTGGACAGGACCATCAGCCTGGACTCGGTGGATGGCGTGCCAGTTGCAGCCATGGAGCAAGGGGGCGAGCTGACGATGGCCGAGCAGTTGGGCGCCAACCTGCAGGCGTACCGGGCATTCCAGGCGCTGCTGGGCGAGGTCCTGGAAGAGCAGAGGTCTCACCTGACCCCGCTGGACACGGACTTCCACGCCTCCATCCAGGCCGTCCTGCTGCAGGTGGCGGCCCTGGCCTACCAGCTGGAGGAGTTGCTGGCGCTGCTGGGTCACAGCAGGCCAGCCTGGGAGGCAGCCGGCCCCGAGGACCCGGCCCGTCGCAGCTTGTTCGAGATGAAGCTGCGGGGGCTGAAGGTGCTGCAGGAGCTGGCTCACTGGACTGTGCGGTCCGTGCGAGACCTGCGCCAGGTTGCCAAGCACAGCCGGGGCTCTGGCACTGCCCGTGGGGGCCAGGCCCAGAAGGAATGAGGCCGCCTGCCACTGGGGCAGATCCCCCCCTCCCTTCAACAAGCCAGGAGCTGGGGGTGGGGAGGAAGGTGCTCTCCCACCCAAGGGTCGAGTCTAGGCTTTGGCACAGGCATGCATCCTGCTCAGCCTCCCCCAGACAACGTGGCCAGCTGGGCCATAGAAGGAACCTATTCCCAAACCACCCCTGCTGGCTCTGCAAGCCAGCTGGCTCTTTGGGGGGGGGGAGGGGAGGGGAGGGGAGGGGCAGGCATCAAGCAGCCACTGGCCAGCGCCATAAGGGCTAATGGGCTGCTGTGGCAAGAGGTGGGAATGGCCAGATGGGGGAGGGGGGGGGGGCTCAAATCCCTGCTGTGCCTGCTCTATCCATTCCCCCCTCCTCTTTGGAGAGGAAGGTGGGCTGGCTCTGGCTCTGGGGTGGCTCAGCAGAGGGCAGGGGGGTTGAGGGAAGGTGGGGGAAGGGTACGTGTGTGGCGAGAGGGGGACAGGAGGCGGCTCCCAACTCCCACTTCTCAGCTTAGAAGCTGAAGGCCCCACTTGCTTGCTGTGGGGAGGGAGCTGTGAAGCGGCTGGAGCCCAGAGCAGCTCTGGGGTGGGGGCAGGGGCTGCCCTGGGGGGAAAAGGAGGCAGGGCTGCTGCAGGGATCCCCCCCATGTCCCAGCCCGGGTCCCCCTCTGCCCCACGGCTGATCCCTAGCACTGGGGAGGTGGGCGTGAGCAGATAGGAGTGAGGGGAATGAAATCTCTGCGGGGAGGGGGAGGGGGGACAGTCTTCCAAGGCAGTCAGAGGGAGATGGGGGAGGGGGGTTGTCTGACACAGAGGGAGGAGGATAGATGACTGGGGAGGAACCCGGAGCTGCTGCGGGGAGTCGTCCTACCCACCTCCCACATGGTTTGAGGCCATCACCGAGTTCCCACCTAGCACCACGTGTCCCCTGCCCTGAGATTACAGTAGCTCTATTTGATGGTCTTGCTACTGGAGGCTGAGCTCTTAAGGGAAGCAGGCCAGACAAGGGCCTTCATCTCACTGCCCCCCCACCCTGACCATGGAAGTTGGGGTCTCCTCTCCCGCCCCTCCTAGCCTTGGCTGCATTCAACCAGTGTGTTGGCGCTTGGAGAGCTAACCAGGAAGTAACGGCTCCTGCTTAAGAAGGGAGACGGGGCCCAAGACCGGTGGCGCTCCTGAGCTGGGGGCCATGTGCCGCTCCACCAGATACTCCATGAAACCCACTAGGGCCTGCGCTGTTGCTGGTGGTTTGACATGATGCCCAGATGCTATGGTGATGGGCAGCAGAATAAAACCCATGGAAGTCAAGTAAGAGCAGACCCTATCTGCCTGATGCAAGGCAGGTGGCCGAAGATGCTGCAGGAGCTGGCTTGCTGAACCGTGAGACCTGTCTGGCTAGGACCTTAAGCCCTTTCCAGACCCTGATCCCCATTTTCCAAGTGGGGAAACTGAGGCATGGAATTGGGCAAGGTCACACAAGAAGCTTGCATCAGCCACAGGAGGGGAGCTGAGATCTGCCCACCTGTCCTGCCTCTTAACCATGTGACCCACAAGACTGGACTGATTGATCTAGCTGCTTTGGGGCCACACACCCCCTCCTGCATCTGCTCTGGAGACAGGGCAAGAGCAGCCTCCCAATGTATAGAGAAGGCTTGAAAAAGTGTGTTCTGTTTTGTTTGCCCCGCTTTTCCTGACTGCCTCCTTGAACGGATGGAGAACAGGGGTAGGATCTGGCATGAGAGATCCAGATTAAGCACAAAAAGAAGGGACTTTTATTCAGACTGGGGGGGTTTCTTTTTAAGCATGCATTTAACTCAAGCGCTTTGTGAACAGGTAGGAGAGAAGAGCTCTGTTAAAAATAACTTCAACTGAGGGCTGAGAGCTGGAAATCCAAACCTGCGCCTTCCTTCCAGCTATCCTGCCCAACCAGGCACACAACTTTGATCCTGATATTTGGAAGGTAAAACACAAGCAGAAATATAAACTTTGCGTTGTTTCTTTATATGGAAAAACAGCCCTTTCAGCCCTTTAAATCTATGTCTCTAACATAGAGTTTTCTCTAGTTTTCATCCCTTACAACGTGTTTTTCTACAAAGAGGTAAAACAGACCATACCACCCTGCCACACATTCACTCACCCACTCTCCTCCTCTCATCTTTAACCGCTATCCTTCTACCATGGCTGGGTTTGCACTATGTGGTTGAACTGTTCTATGAAATATTTTGACACGTGAGATGGTCTGGATCTGACTGGTTTTGGGCTTTTTGCTTTTGAAAAATTGGAAGGAATAATTTAATCTGTAACTGTGCCTGGAGATATTTTAATACTGACCCATGAAACTCGGCGCTCTGTCATTTTACAATCTCACTCACGATCTCTGCTTCTCCTAGAGGGGATCTTGGAGTGATTTGTTTTGGCCTGTAGAAGGTTTTCTTATTTCTTCCTGAATGTAACAAACAGATTCAGAAAGAAATTGAACCTAAATGGCATATCATGATTTTGCTTTTTCACTCCCAAAAACGTTGCTTTACCAATTTTTGTTAGAGACAGAGTACTCTTTTGTTTGTCTGGGGGTTTGTTTAGTTTTTTTCGACACACACAATATTTTGGACTTAGCAGCAGTTGAAATGTTTAGTGCAGTTTGGGGAGATCATTGCTGTCAGTTGTTTCATAGTGAGGAAATAAGACATGGAACGTACCAAACGAAACTTTTGGTGGCTTGGGGAAAGGAAGGTGGGGGAAATACAGGTGAGCGGGTCTCATTACCTCCCCTGGACCGGAGTGCTGGGCCTGCCTTAGCCCTCCATGTCTCCTGTCTACACCTGGGAATGCAGAATGTTCAGCCTAGAACAGTGGTTCCTAAACTTTTCCACCCTGAGCCATATTCCCAGGGGTTGCACTGCCCCAGGATCACTGCCCTGGTGCGTGCCGGGGAAAAGACAAATATTTCTGCAGTGTAACCTCTCAAAACACTTTACAAATACAAGGAGTGAATCTGCCTCACAGCCCTGTCCAAGTATCACCCCATGGTTAAGGGGGGAAACTGAGGCACAGAGGTTAGCAGTCGAGGCTGGTGAGCAACTCAGAGCTGGCACCAGAAGCAAACTCCTGCGTCTCAGCACTAACCACTAGCCTGTGCTGCCTCCTGGATAGGGTTTGGCAGGACCTGTGCTGCCTGCTTGTGGACCAGGCCTCTGTCAGGGAGGGATAGCTCAGTGGTTTGCGCATTGGCCTACTAAACCCAGGGTTGTGAGTTCAATCCTTGAGGGGGCCATTTATGGATCTGGGGCAAAAATCTGTCTGGGGATTGGTCCTGCTTTGAACAGCGGGTTGGGCTAGATGACCTCCTGAGGTCCCTTCTAACCCTGATATTCTATGATTCTGTCAGACCCTCCCTTAGCCAGGGGGGGCAGTAATTTAAAGGGACACAGCCATATGTTTGGTTAGCAAAAAACCAACCGTGCATGACCCAAGGACGGGTTTGAGAGAGACACACATGTTCTGCTCTGTTGGGGAAGAGGTATAAAGGCAGGTGTATGGCAATGTAATTAGCTTTGAGCTGTTCCCACCCCCACATTACACCACAGCATCCCTGTGTCCCTGCTGCCCACACACAAGAGAAAACAACCAAACATAAAAGGAAGAGAAAGAACTGAAACGAAAGCCCTGAAACTGCTCGGTTGGGTGAGCCTGGAACATTAACCCTTAGAGTGCTGCAGTTGGGCACCTTGCTCCTCAGGCTCGCTAACTTGCCCCCCAGCAGGGCCCACGTCTCCCATCATCCCCTGTTGCAAACTCCCTCTTTTAAGCCACCATAGCTGGTTCCCATCTGCCCCAAGCTGCTGGCTCTTCTGTTACTGGCCACTCCCACTCCCCCTGCCCCGCCATTACCTCCTCCGGTTATCAGCAAGCAACTGAAAATCCTTCTGTTCCCCACCACCCAAAATGCAACCTCCATCACAGCCCCTAACCCCCTCCTCTCCCCAGCACTGTCCCAATCTTCCTGCAAACCACTGACAAGTAACCCTGATCCCCCACCATCTCCCCCCAGCTGCCAAATCCACCCACTTTTCCTCCATCTGGAACCTCAGCATTGCTGTAAGGGTCTGCAGGCTCCGCCCTGCCCCACAGCAGAGGCTTGTGAGCAGCTGCTGGGCAGCCCGGCAGCCCCAAGAGAGATGGTGAAGTTTTGAGCTGGGGTGAAGGTCTCTGGCCAGGCTCAGAATCCCCTAGAGGCTGTTCTGGGCTGGTGGGGGCAGGCGGGATCCCCGCATGGCCAACGCTCACCGGTTTCATTACGCTATTTAGTACGTTCAGCAAGGCCCAGCTCCTGCAGGCCCAAGAGTCCCCACCAGAGATTCACAGCTTTCCTTTTTTTAATAACCTTTTTAATAACATTTAATAACAAATCCCTCAAAACATTATTTTAATCAATCTCATGATTTTTGAACCTGGGGGGGTTGGCAATCCTCGGATCCATATGTACCTGTGGCCCCTTCCCCTTTAAGAGGTAGATTTTCTTACTGCCAGACGCCTACTTTCCTTTGTCCCCATTGGTGGGTGGAACAGTGCCCCCCTTTGGCTAAGCATAGGAACTCCCTTCCAGTTGATAGGGGGTTCCTAGGGCTGTTCTAGACAGATGGGGCTTCTCTTAAAGGTGCCATTACCGTCCCCGGGTGCATCAAAGAGCTGCCTGAGTGCAGCCTGCAACACTAATGCAGTCATGTGATTAAAAGCTACTGCTCCCCCAGCCTTGCCACGCCCCGTACCCCTCACCCAGGCGGTGTGAGCCATTCAGAACTCACCCCAGGGAGAGTCCTTGACCCAGTTCCCGGGCTCTCAGGCTGAACTAGTCCCAAGAGACCTTGTGGTGGATCCGTAGCTCTCTTGCTCTTCCACCAGACGGCTTGGGGGTTGTACCTCCTGGTACCCCCTGCTCTTGTACCTCCGGGTGCCATAGACAGCCCCCGCAATAGCCGCCGCCAGGACAAGCGTCACAGCCACTGAGATGCCAGCCACAGCGCCCCCCGTGGGCCCCGCGCTGGACTGAGCCTGGAAAAGTTGGGCCATCTCCCTCTCATCGGTGACGTTGGCTGACCGCCAGTGTCCACTGCCCTGCAGCTTCACCCAGGCCTGGCTGCCCTCCCCCAGTACCAGGATGGTCTCGGCCATGCTGGCATTGGGGGACGGCTGGCGGAGGAAGGGCGGGAGCTTGATGGGAGCCAGCTGTTGGGCAAAGAGGCTCCCAGCCTGAAGGCAATAGAGGATCTGGCAGCCGTCGCTCAGATAGGCTTTGTGCTGGCTGTACCCCTGGGGGCACTTCATGGGGTAGGCGGTGTCGGAGTCTTGGTAGAAGAAATCCTGGAGGATGCCAGGGCTCTGTCCCTTCAGGGGCCCGGCCAAGGGGTTGCCGGCCTGGCAGCTGAAGAAGCCGCCGAAGGGCAGGCCGAAGCGGGCGCCCATCTCGTAGTCGTCACTCACGCACACCTTCAGCCCGTCGAAGAGCGAGAGCGGGTAGAAGTAGGACGGGCAGGCGCGGGCCCCGGTGAGCGGGTTCTCCTCCCCGGCGCTGTACAGCCCCCCGAAGAGGAAGCCGGAGCCCTGGGGCACAGGGCCGGTGGCGGCGCACCAGTGGGCCGTGAAGCGCACCGTGGTGGAGTAGTAGCGGACGCCGCACTCTTTATGGCAGCAGGAGAAGAAGAGCCAGCAGGAGTGGCACTCCTCGTGGCACTCGGCTTGGGGCTTGCTGGCCGTGCGCTCCTCACTGTGTAGTGGGACGGGTGTGAAGCCGGCCGGGCAGGAGAAGCCCCCGGTCAGCGGGTTCTGGGTGCGGTACGGCTGGCACATCTCCTCCCCATCCAGGCCTGACACCCCGCGACATTTCTGGAAGACACCCCCGAAGGTGAAGTTGGTGCTGGCCCCCAGGCATGAGCCGTCATCCACGTTGGCCTGGAAGTTGAAGTTGCTGGCGTCGGCCTTGACGCAACCCGGGTGGGTGTTGATGGCGTAATAAAGATGAATGGCCTTGTCCACCACGGCTGCCACCCTCTTGGCTGTGGGTGCCGGCAGCTCTGGCAGGGCCTCCGGGCTGATGAAGAAGGGCAGGGGCAGGCCGGCCTTGCCGATGGCCACCAGGTGGTTGGGGATCCCTTCCTGCCACTTCTGGAGCGTGATGCCCGGGTAGAAGGGCACGCTGCCCCGGCTCTCGATGCGCGAGTCCACCGTGTTCTCCATATAGCTCTTGGTCAGCTCGTCTTGGACCTGCGCGGCGGCGCCGATCCCCACGTTGACCTTGCCGAAGAAGGTGGCGGAGGCCGAGGCGGTGATGCTCGCCTTCTCGGCCACCTTGTCCTGCAGGAAGGTCAGTTTGACCTGGTCCTCCTGGATCAGGCTGGCTCCGGCCTCCAGCCTGGTCAGGACGTGGGTGCCATAGTTCAGCACCAGCAGCTCAGCGAGGTACGTGGCCATCTGGCTCTGGTTGTTCTCCAGCTGGTTGCCGATGGCCAGGAGCTGGTGCCGGAAGCTGGGGTGGAGGGTGAAGGCGGGCTGGGCCTTCACCGAGTAGATGTGGTGCCGCACTTGCACCCGGGTGGTGACCGTCTGGTCGTAGACATTGTGGGTCTTCGTCTCCTGGCACCCGGAAGAGAACTTGCCATTGAGGACGCCCAGGAAGGAGGCCTCGGCATTGATGGAGCGGGCAAAGGCGTCGGTGTAGGAGAGCCAGTTCTCGATCAGCTCGGCGTGCACCTCCACCCTGCTCTCCCGGAGCGGCACCACCTCCACCTCATCCGGCAGCAGGTACTCGCCGTCCTCCGTGGTGCGGCATTGCGAGTAGTTGAGGCTCATCACTCGCCCCACCTCCACATTGCGCAGGTTGTCCCAGCCCCCGCCTGGCAGCACCTCCAGCACGCTTACGTTCAGGGACCTCTTGCAAGCTTGGAAGCCGGGCTCCAAGGCGCCCGCCCCAGCTGCCATCAGCAGAGCCCAGAGCCAAGGCACCATGGCTGTGCCGTCCTGGAGCCAAGATTCCTTCAATGGGACGCGGCCCCTGCTCTTCTTTATGCCCTCTCCCGGCTCCTCCCTCTCCCAAACGCTGACTTGACTCTTTCCCCAGTGAGGTTCCTTTTCCAGGAAGTCTCTGATTTTTAAATGTGCACCAAAAAAAAAAATAAATAAAGAGGAACTCTTAGATTGTCCAATGGCCTTCGTGGAGGCGAGGCCTCTGTGCGAGCCGTGAGCTAAATCACCAGAGTTATCATCTGACTTACCCTCCCCACAAAAGAGGAAGAGAAACCTACCCTTGAAAAGTTCCCCAGCCAAACACAACCACCTCTGCACCCCCAAAACACACACCCACACACTCCCCTGCCCGCCCACCCTCATCAGCCCTCCCACAAATGCTTTCAGAAAGTTCCCCGCAGCACCATCCCCTGGAAAGCAGATGAAAATAGGCTGGTGTCAGCCCTTGGAATTTCCAGCCCCCGTCACAGGCCAGTCGAAACCTGCCTGTGGCTGGGACGCAGAGAAAAGGGGATTCCCTGACGGCTGCAAACTCAGCCTGCCTTGGTGCTTCCAGCCGAGGAGTTTCCCTAGGCTGAAGAGGTCCCGTGCCAGAGCAAAACTGAAAGAGTTGCAGTTTGGAGCAGCCAGGCCTGGAGCAGGAAGACCTAGAGCTGTGGGGCTGGGAGGCAGAGGGTGGGGAGGCATCTGGCAGCCCTTTGCTGATGTCAGCTGGTGGGGAGGGGAGGATGGAGGGAGGGGAGGGGGGGGCTCCTGCAGGGGGGGGGAGGGAGATGGGAACGTGGTGTGATGTTGCAGCCTCAGGGCTCAGTTCTCCGCTGCCTTGCTCTGACCCTCCCCACTAGGGCAGTGCCCCAGCTCTCCGCTCACCTCAAGCACAGTGTGCCCTGGGCTCTGCCTGTGGAGGGGTTACGCCCCAAAGGGGGGGTGGCTGATCCCTAAAGGGATGTGGATAACTAGCAACATTCTGCCCTTCTCTGTGCTGAGCATGGGTAAAAGAGGAGTCCTGGGGAGCAGATCTTCTGCTCAGTAATGTCTCCAGAGTGAGGCCCCCATCAGGGCCGGCTCCAGGTTTTCTGCCACCCCAAGTGGCAAAAAAAAAGCCGCGGCAGTGCGATCACACCGCTCCACTCTTCGGCAGCAATTCTGCGGCTGGTCCTTCGCTCCAAGAGGGACCCGCCGCCGAATTCCCGCTGAAGACCCGGACGTGCTGCCCCAATAGCGGCCGGAGTGCCGCCCCAAACACCTGCTTCTTTAGCTGGTGCCTGGAGCCAGCCCTGAGGCCCACACACCCTTTCCTTGCTCCCCTCCTCCCCACCAGCTGCCTCTTTTTGGCAGACACTCAAGGCCTGGCCCAGAGGCCGTGGGCTGTGCCTTGGTGTGAAACAGCAACTCGGTTTCCTTGCACACAGCTGCATGGGGCAGCGGGCGAGAGGCCCCGGGGCCTGGGCCAGAGAGGGAGAACGCGGTGCAGATGATCGCTGGGGAGGTGGGCATTGAGGGGCAGCAAGGCGGAAGGGGCGCTTTGCAGACTGGCGCGTGAGCCTGGGCCCTAGGACAGCCATTGGCGGGGGATTTCTCTGCCTTGCTGATCTACTCCACAGCTTTGCTAGTGTCCCCAAGCCAGACCTGCAGCCATTTAGGTACTGGGGTTGCAGAGGGGCAGCCCAAGGGTAGGCAGAGGCAGCAGGTCCAAACCCCCCTTGTCGATGAGGAGTGGCTTTTACACTGCAGTCTGCCCCAGTGAGCGGGGGCTAGATGGTGACTGGCAGTAGCCCACGACTGAGGCAAGGTGGGGATAGAGGGTTGGGGGTTTCCCCTGGGTGGGGAGACCCTGAGACTGTGGAGGTATTGCCAGGGGGCAGCACCCCAAAGACAAGGGTCACTGGGTCCTGGGAGGGACATGGGGGGCCAGCGGCAGTGGGACACCGGCCTGCAGAGGGCGCTCCGGAGGCTGGAAGAGCTAATTCCCAGAGATGACCAGCAGGAGGTGCCACAGGGGTGAGTGCCACAGGGGTGAGTCCCGCACCATCACAGTCCCCCTTCCCAGCTCTGACACCACAGAGCCTTGCCTGTGTTCCTGTTCCTATTCCCCCCCTTAGCAAAACATTATTCCAATTCTCCCCCCCCCACACACACACTTCCTGATTGACTGCAGACTACATAGTAAAACTTGAGTTCTGCTTAGCTATACCTTAAACAGTTAAATTTCAGTAAAATGATTAACAAATCCTAACCTATTGTAACATGATTATCTAAACAATTATATCCCACCACCTTAATTGGTTTACACCCAACAAAATTAATTATACAGCAGACAGAAACAATCACAGAACCAGACAGAGATTATACAGACAAACAAGAGAGAAGTGGGGACTACAGTGATAGAACAACACAGAAATGAGGATTTCACATCCCAGCTATTGATGAGTTCTTGCCAGACAGGATGCTATCAAACTAAGTTTTCTTTAAATCTTCTAGGCTCTTCCCTTTCTCTGGAGGTGATAAATCGAATCACCTTTCTAATTGCCCCACGTTGCTTTATTTCAGTGTACTATACCTCTACCCCGATATAACGCTGTCCTCGGGGAGCCAAAAAATCTTACCGCGTTCTAGGTGAAACCGCGTTATATCGAACTCGCTTTGATCCGCCGGAGTGCGCAGCCCCCCCCCCCGAGCGCTGCTTTACCACGTTATATCCAAATTTGTGTTCTATCGGGCTAGAGGTGTAGTTTGAAATGTGAGGCTGTAACCATACATTTCCCAGCTTATGGCTGTCCTCCTGCTTAGCCAAAGGCCTTAGCTTAAGAAAAGGGCCTCAGACTGTCAGTGAGAAAAGGCCCTTACACAGGCAGACTGTGATTTTAATTCTTGTTGTGTAGCTCTATAACTAGCTAAGTGATAAGAATACACCTACATTCTTAAAGTATAGGCCTTCGCAGACAGGCCTGAATATCTATATCCTAACATGGGAGCGTAGCCTTGTTCTTACACTTTGTCAACACTGGTCTGGCTCCTGCTGCCGAGAGAGTCCCATTGGCTGGAACTGACAAAAGCTGAGGAAAGATGGTGAGTGCAGCACTGAGTCCCGAGGGGGAAAGTCCTTCTGAGAGCCTCGGGTCAGCAACATCCTCTGCAGGCTCAGTGGCTTGGTGGATAAGATGTGGCCCAGCGGTGGTACAAGAATTGTCCAAACGCTGATGAGCAACTATGGCGTGTCTGAGCCACATCACGGCACCCGACCCCGCTCAGCTTTGGTTAAAAGACATTTGAAGGCAAAAGGGGGTTTAACTGGAGATTTATGTGTGCGTGTGCGTCGTTGTGAAGGGGGGGAGGGGGGTCTAAAATGAAGCTTCCAACAGAAAAGTAAAACTTGGCACCAGATCCTCAGCTAGTGAAAAATCAACATCGTTCCACTGCAGCTCAGGCTTCGTTGGTTGACACCATCTGGGATCTGGCTCATTGACTCCAGTGGAGCTCTGGCCAATTGACACCA